GACCTAGTTAAGAAAAGTTCTAAAGACTCCTCTTCAATTTCAAGTATCATTAGGAGTTTTCTTTTTTCTCGCTTATTGCAATATTTGCTTCCATCCCCATCCAGTCACTATGTTTGTGACATGAATTAACAGACCAGAAATATTTATGTTCGATATCACGATCAACTTTTCACAACCTCCAAACAACCCCTCAAATCAGTCAGTTACGAAAATTATTATGACGAATATGTACCGAAATACAATGTTTAGCAATGAAAGCGATAATATCTTTGTATAAGCACAGGTAGAAAATGGCTGCAATTAAACGCAACTCAATTTCGTAGATGTGCCCTTCAGCTTAGCAACCAATCAGGATGGGGCGGGAATTATTATATCCGCCATCTTTGTAAGCAATGGCGGTCGACTTTCTTCGTTTTGTGCATTTTTTCAGCTATTTCTTTTGTGTAGCTACAGAATTTAATGTTTCAGTGTGCTAACGTGCCGCAGTTAGTGTAATTTTCTATATGTTGGTGTGAAATTTACTTCGAATCAGCATTGGTTTTTGAGTTTTCGCTGCATCTACACAAGTCAATGTATTTCTTCAGCCAAGCTGGCTAGTCTTATCGGTTTTGTTTTGACCTGTTTTCTAGATATCCAAAGCCGGAGTTCGTTTTTATTTAGCTAAAATAATTGTTGCTGCCGCCTGTGACTCTAACTGTTCGCATGTTCGTTCCTAACTGTCTTTTATTATGTTATCGGCAAAATGAAAGGAAACAATCTCTGGTTTTTAACTTTATTCAGTATTATGGACAACACTATCCCACCAACGAGTCAAACTAATACAGAGTGCCCAGCAGTAGGGTATATCGGTATTGATTTCGAAAGGATCCAGACTTCCGACAACTATAGATGAAGTCACAGATGATACCAATCTATTGCAGAGGGTTTGTTATGAAAAATATGCCATATAGCAGTAATAGAGGGGTTGTACTCATTACGCTGTGCGTCAAAGCACGCTTAACATTGAAAAGCCGGAAATCTGCTATCAGTGTGTAGTGTATGTTTACTGTTTTGGTCATAAAAAGAAGCCGAAGGGTCATGCTCAGGGAGTAAAAAGGTAATTAACTGTTGTTAAGCTCACTTTCTTATAGATCATATTTCGCCACTCGCAAATCTGTGTTTTTTTAAGGTATGACGTCAACCGGTACCTAATATGTTCACCCTTACGATGAAAGTACCTGCAAATTCTCACCTTCATATTCGAATTATTTTTGGACAACTGTCTTCCAGTTTGAGTGCTTCGTACGCCCTAGGAGACTAGATTCCTACATTATTTGTAGTTCCAGTATAACTTTCTAACGCAGTAAGTTCAGAGTAGACACTAGTCTTTCTAAATAAGCTTGTTAATCTAAGATCCGTATTCTCTATTTCAGTTAATCGATGAAGACGTGTGCCACGTGCATCTGCTGTATACTGCCATTTTACTGAAATTCTAACTGTTATATCTTACTTCAGAAAAATAAAATTGCTATATGCAGCAAATACAGACTTATTTGTTTTGATGGAGGTAGGGGGGTTCATGGGATTTTTAGCAGGACTGTAGTAATATTCTCACTAAAAAGCTAAGCGAGTGCGTAGACCAATGTAAGGTACCATGCAGGGTGCCTTTGAGTTACTAGTGTTCCATTAGTGCGGGTAGGGGCATTGCTTGCTTATCATATGGGATTTGAATAAGGAGCTATAGGATTAGACGCTGGGACGGTTATGATGTGTAACGCGTGTCCATCCATCAGCTGCCGTGACAACTCATGGTGGCTAGAATAAGTTGTGAGAGGACCCGAGTCTGTAGGTTTCCTAGGAAAATGACGAAGATATGCACCAAATCACCTCATGAAGAGCGCCTCCAATCACTTACCATTTACCCATTAGAGTGTGGTCGACCAGACGATATATAAACGCAAAAAGTATCAACAAAATTAATAAAAATCAATAGTAATGTTAATATATATAAGTTAGTTATTACAAATGTAATAGAAAGTTGGGACTTTACTTAAGTTCACCAAATTGATGTTCGGTTTGTTACTAAGAAATCCACAATTATAGATGCTTGGTAATTCCAAACGTGTCGATGAACTCTCCAGTGGTGTAATCCGAGGTAAGGAATGGTGTATTCGCACTCACAATCTATGAATGTAAATAATATTTGTTTTAGATCTCAGTTAACTCAATGACGAATGAAAATAGAATGTGTGAGAAGCAGTGTATTTGTTAGCCAGCAACGGTATGTCACGCTATGTCAGAATCATAACGGAAAGTGACTTCAAGGTCATTCACTAAAACAACAGGTACAGTCATTTAATGATAAATATGCATACAGTGAAAGGTTGACAAGATAAATACAAATAATATTAAAAACTATTTACAAAATAAACTTGTCAGTCATATCTCCACAAGAGTATAGCATTCTTAGAGGTGACCTAATGGCTTACAGTATCCTTAACACTTCTGGACATCCTCTCAAACACCTACTTAAGCTTAGTTCCAACACTAACCTAAGGGGTAACACCCAGAAACTGGAGACACAACATAGCAGGACGGACTGTAGACGCAACTTCTACTCCTTAGGAGTTTTCAAATTCTGGAATTCGCTGCCCGCCGAGCTAGTCCAAGCGACTTCCCAGGAGTCCTTTAAGAGGCAACTGGATCTATCCTTAAGGATAGTATCACACTATTATTTACCAATTTCTTTCTCCTCTTTTATTGCTAACATACTTAGGTCCGTGCCTGGAGGTTTTGGTGATCCCCTGCTACTAGACACGGAAGCGACTTCCCAGTAGTCCTTCGAGAGGCAACTGGATCTATTCTTAAGGATAAAAGATAGTCTCATACGATGATTTACGAATTTCTTTTTCCTTTTTTATCGTTAATATACCTAGCTTCCTGTATGGAGTTACTCGTGCCCCCCTGGTACTAGACACAGAAGCCTGTTAAGGGAAAGCTTCTATTCAGTCCACAACCATTTGAACACATGAACTAAATGCTGAGAGGCTCGCTTATCACAAGTTTCTTGCAACGATTAAGTAGATAAAACAAAGTAGCATTAGATTTAGAAATTTATTCAAGAACTTTCATTAAGAATCGAATATCAAACAAAGGTTTAAACCAAGTTCCCCTTTAAAAGTTGTATTGGTAATGTTAAGCTGCAGTTTTTGTTGTATTTTTCCAAACGAAAGAGTAAAAGAAGTAAAAAAATACTGGAAGTGGTTGTGCGACTAAATGGACGTCCAGCATCCTTTTTTATAATCTGCTGTTCGTTGGATCTCCCGTAAATAGTTCCATAGGGCCATAGTTCTAAGGGCGAAACAGTTTTTATGATCTGTGAAGACTCACTCCTGTTGCATTCTAAATGAAAAAATAGTAATGAATTTAGTCAGAAATGTGGAATAGATAAATAACCAAATCAAATGCTTTTTAGCAAAGAATTTATACAGTTGTGGTTTACTTTGAGTTCATGAATATTAGATCAGGTCAGCTACTATTACCTGTGCAAAGCATAACATGGACTTAGTACCGTATCTCAATGCTTTTATTATTTTGCTCCCACTTAAGTATTCCCATACATCTGCGTCTGGTTTTACAGGAAGACATACAAGTTGATTTAGTATCTGATAAACTAAAAGTTCCAGTTTTCAAAAAGATTCTTAACAGCCAGCAGCATTTAATTGAGACACAGAACACTCATCTTCTAAGGCTGTATACTGCTGTTTAGCGGGCAACTAAAAGCTCAGACGCTTAGCTATCTTGCTACCTATGTTATTGCTGGGGAAATTGTTTAGTGAAAGTGGTCTTGAAACATGAACAGTGTTAGACGTACTGTCTACAAATAAACACCAAACGTACTTATGGCTATCTTATAATGTATGACAGCAACAGCATCAAAGGCACGTTTTTTCCTATTTTTAATCAGACTGTTTTGAATCAGTATACTCACTAAAAACAGGCAGCTCTACTTACTAAACTGATCTGTTTCGTTACAGGCTTCAAGCACTATACTTAAGTATACCATAATTCTTTCAACTAAAATGAATTATACGACAACCAAGAATACTAAACTAAGCAAGTGTCATAGTTATTGTTCCATTTGCACAGACATGTTGCTAAACGGAGTCAAATGAACATAATTCAGCCGATAGAACCAAAACACGAAATATAGGCCAGTCGAACTTACCTAAGAGAAAACGAAGGATACATATATACTGCATTCATACTGAAGACAACAGGCAGTTGTTCATAAAAACATAGTTTGCAGTACAACAAACCTTTCTTCAGTAAAATCATGCACTGACAGTCTATCTGGAAACAATCAACCATGTGAATAAACTCACTATGACTTGAGATATCATCACAGCGTGCGATGGACGTACAGTGTAACGCAGTCGGACGTGGCGAATAAAAATTAAAAACAGAGCAAAATTAACTACATAATCTAGTTATTTAATTAAAAATACATTGTGAAATGACAAAATCTGTGGTTGCTTGAGCGCACAGATGACCCTGGGCGATACACTAAGTTTACATGGTTGCGTTGCGGATAAATTCACCCGTAGAAAATACAAAAAATATTCCATACTCGAAAAATTCCTCATCTTGGCTACACAATGCACACTCTGAAACCTTGTGAAATATGAATTATAAAATTTGACGTAGATAAATGATTCAAAAACATGAGACGTGTCATATGTCAAATTTAAAAGTATTTTTGTCCATGAGGCAGTCAAGGCAAGGTCAGCAATGACAGAGAGAATCAAACTAACATATTAAAATATCTGTCGTGGAGTATGTTGAAAGTAGGAAGGTCCATCAGAGGTCACAATATAGCAAAGACTCTCATGTTCTTATATCATAACTATACTATATCATATTACGAGCCAAGTCTAAGCATATATGCTAGATTATTCTGGAAACAAGTTACGTAAACTAATAGACATTAGGAAACAGATGGCAACTAAAAATTAAATTCTCGAGTAGTATTTTTCTATTGACTGTCCCTTTTTTACGTAAATGTGTTTAAATTTATCAATATATGTGTTGGCATAAGGGATGTAACAGAGATAGTTCAATTTCTCGACCACCGCCATATATAGTCTTTCGATTTTTAACATTTATAGATTCATTTTATGATTCTTGACCTCACTTTGTGTGACCACATGTAAGACTCATTTCTCGGATGTAATTTACGGTCGTGTATATTCATTTATTCCGTTTTATCAACAAACTATTCTTAATTAAATTCCTATGAAAAAGAATGACAAGAAACTGTAAGCTGTAAAACAACAAAGCTGATTATTTAAAGAGCTGTTTTGAAACAGAAAAAAGAGAATGAACTGTTAGCTATGGAAACAAAGGAGATTGAAGAGAGACTGAAGCTTCTTAAATCGACTCTCTATTCAGAATTAACCAAGACAAACAAACTCAAGTAATGTGATGACATAGTTTACATGCAATGATTAGTTCTTCTGTACCGATTTGGAAAGGTAGTTGTCCAGCCTCTTCAACCGAAAAACAGAAAAGAGATGCACTAGTTGACGTATGAAATTTATTCAACCCGTTGTGTATACTTCGTTTTAGATCAGTGGACTTAAATTCAAACCTTTGAAGCACAGTCCAACTTCTGAAAGTAGCTTGATTTACTGATTTATGACTTAATAAGTCAAAACCTCAGATACATATGGTAGTTTAATCCGAAAAATAAATGAAGGCATGGAACTTACTCCCATAAACCCTGTCAATGCTCATCAGTCTATGTGTGGACAATGTGAAGACAAAAACGCTGTTGTTGTACGTGTTATTTTTCTGACCCGTTCTTTTGAAGTTGTGCCAGGAATGCAGTGAACACTACTGCGCTAAATGTTTTGCAATGTTTCATGTGAAAGGAGCACTTAGACGTCACCATTCGTTGCCTGTTTCGGTATTACGGTCAATTATAATCATGGTTTAGACTTGTAGCTTGAGGTCTGAATTACGTTCTTGTAATGAAACTGATGGTATTAACAAAACACAAGGACTCAAAGAGTTAATTAGTAAAGTAAGTACTGCTTTAGTAAATTCCCATCTATATTTATGATTTTCTAATGGTTACTAATATTTCCAGTTTTAATCTGAAGCATAATCGCTAAAAACGCTATTTATAGTTTGAATATGTGATCATTAAAACTCGGTTATATTGAGGCCAAACCTTGAGTACTACTAAATGAAATAAAGTTTGACTTTTCTTATTTTCTGTATTTAATAAGTTTTAAAAAGTTCGACAAATATTTGAATAACAGTCACTTAAAAAATATTCAGGTCAAGACTCATAAAGCACTTAACAGAGTGTCTTAGAATTGCTAGTCTTTAATGTTACATCCCTCAAATCTACGAAAGATCACTTACAACATAGGCAAGTTTCAAGCTACTGTCATATAAAGATGCTATCACTTGTTTGACACTTGTTTGAGTTTTGGTTTCGATGCGAATATTTTTACACCAAGCTAACCGCTTTGTATGATTTCAATTTTAATATGTTTTAAATTGACCCTCAGTACAAGATACGAGCATCTACTTGTCGTGCATTAAAAAGGTTAAATAAAACTTGCACATATGAAGCTAAACACACAAAAGTAAACCAAATGTAGTGACATCGTAAGCAGCTTTGTTAGCGTGAAGGATGATATAGATTCTTAAATTTGTAGTTTTATATCACCAATGGATGACCTTTGCTAGGAATCTTTTAAAAATTATGATACAATTAAAAAACAGCTTTCCGGCGCTTTTTTTCACTAGTTATTTGAGTACGGTCAGCCTCTGTTATAGGGGCAGATTTATTTACTTTAATACATAAATACATGATACAAAATTCTAATCTGTTAAACAAAAGTCTTTAGTTAACATTTGTAATGTGCAGAGAATTAAATATGCTCAACAAAACAGTAACAGTGAAACGGGAATAAAGAACAGCATAAAATATCTTTCGGGTTTTAATTTCCAAATCTGCAGGTTATTTTGATCATAAGAACTAAACCATTCACACAAATAATTACTACATGAAGTTTGAATGTAAATTTTGAACTTTTGTTGCATAGATTCAAACCAGTTCATATGCGCGAAATCTACCGATTATGGGAAATTCAAATGAGAATTCTATTTATTTCCAATTAAACACGATACTAATTTATTTGAAGAGAAAACCTCACACACCATTATGCTTGATTATCTTACAGTCATAGCGCAGTCATGATCATAAAAATCGTTAAAAAGATATTTGTTGGGAGTTCTAAAAGACAACAAAATAGGCAATTTACTGCTGTTTTTAATAAATTTCAAGCAAATATCAGTTTCTAATGTACAACTTTGAGGTCCGCATATATTCTTAAGGGTTTAATATAGCTTTCCTCGTGAAATCACGCTAGCTGGAAACCCCAATCCCAATACTTGAGGCTTTCATACTGCGCGGCACTGATAAGTCACAAACTACTAAAGAAATAACCATTGAGTACTACTAGTTTACAATAGTTTTCCAATGGAACCCAATTAACTTTTAGAACTACCTTTAAAACATATATACAGATAGTCTTTAGGCAGATTATAGAAGTATTACTTTATCTAAATCAACCTTTTATTAAATTTTCATAGGGATGTCAAAGTTCCTTTAGTATTGCGACCAAATCAAATTCAGCCTTACAAACGGAAGCAATAAATGATCCCTATCAATATGATCCCCCTACTAAAACGCCGCTAACAACAAAACAATCTTCGGCCGCAGTCAGTCATATAACCCCAACACTATGTAAAACATCTGCTTCAGTAGAAATATATTTCACGCCAAGTATAACTTACGCAGAAAAATTATTGCTTCGTTTGCATCGGAATTCTAAGCTTCAGCAATCAATAAGACAAGACAGCGTATCTGAAGGGGCTTTCTTGCCAAATTCAAGTATTGGTGAGTTTCATGTTTTTATCAACTTCTCACCGGGAATAACGTGTAAAATATTGGTCTAAAAGTGACACAAATAATTGGAAAGTTAATGTGTTAAAAGATTCTTAACGTTGAACAATTTGACAAACATGGACCTGGAAAATACACTTGCGAATTAGTTACTATCGTACAACTTGGCAGTTTCAAGTTTCACTGGATGTAACAATTGATGTCAAAGGTCTCATTCGAAAATTTATGCAAACTGTTTACTTGAAAAAATGTACACTCTAAAGTCATAGCTCATACTTCTATCGGAGAATCTGAAGAAAGACGGCTAGTCTACATTGTGAGCTTTAGGTATTTATATAAACAACATGAAATCTTATTTCCTACGTGCGATTCTTCTCTTTTGAGACCACAGAACGTCTTAATGAAGTTATATTATGCACTTAACATTCAACTTTAATTTTTCTCTTAATTCTAGTCAACAGAAACATAAATTATCGGCCGAATACTAGAAAACTGATTCAGCATATTCAAATTAATGTTCAATAATGTTTTAAAGTCACTGAGATTTTTACGAATGTTGACAGTTTAAACTACTTGGTCTTTAAAAATTTGTATTTTGGATTACAATTACATCCTCTTGAAACATGTTTTGCCGCAAAATATAATAGGATATTAGAAAAATAAAGTTCAGAAATCGGAGTACATACGGTTTTGTTAAGAAGGATCTCTATTATTGAGGTATAAATACGCCTAGGAAACAGATATTATGGAATCTTTCATGTTCCCATCTATAAAAGAGAATAAAGAGTCAGCTTGGTTGTTTGTGAATAAGTCGAAAAAATTAATCTCAAGAGCTAAATATCATTCCTTAATTTGTAAACATGGTTTAACATTGAGGGCTAAAACATAATTTTTGTGTAGTTATTCTGTACAATAATTATTTTTTACGAAAATATTAACGTCTGTATGTATTCTCTTACTTTTTGTTTGCTTCATCGCCTTTCACATTTGTGTCATCAATTTACAATGGAATTGAAAAAAAGGACAAGAGAAAAAACAGGAAGAAGTTATGGAGAATTTCACATTAAATAGGAATTCATTTGATGAATTACATAAATTGGCTACAACACAAATGCAATTGAGCAATGATAATCCACATGTTTTCTCGCATTCTAAATTAGACTCAGAAGAGCCTATTGATCAAATTGATAAAGTAAATTTAATATTTAATTTTCTTAATTTCATATTTTAAGTATTCATTTAATTACCTACTTTTAATTTTATTTATTTATAACAGATAATGTATCCAATTATTCATGAATCGAATGAAAATTACTCAAGTATACCCTTTTTTGATGAATCATTGTGTAATTTGATTAAACAAAAAGAAAATACCGACCAAATTCACAATGGACAATGTTCACAGTGGGTATTACAATTTTTTTGAGTATTTATTATAGAAATGTTGATTTTATTTAAATGGTGATAACCTCAGTAATCATTTCAACCTTATTAAATTATATCATTTCGTTACGATGTAGTATATTAGCTTTTAGAAAATGTAGATTACTGACAAATTACTTAGATTTGAATCCTGTCTTTCACTTAAATTCATTTCATACACATAGTTCCCTTTATCATTTTTAAAAGAGCAAGAACAAAGATTCTAGCAGAATAGCATGAATTCATTTTATTTCGTAGGTTCTCGTCAGCTGCTTACAACCTGTGATATTTAAAAATCATAATTGCATAATGGATTTAAATTGCTTACAGAATATTGTAAATATATACCTAATGTGAAAGAATATTCTACAACATTAATTGTGACAACAGTTCAAAAATGGGTTAGAAACAATTGATTACATAATGAATAAACATTGATAGGAATATAGTGATTAGAGTTCAGTTGAAAGATTATTAATTTGAAAGATAGTTGAAAAAATAAATTAGAATCAATGATGTAATAAATGCAACAGAAAAAAGAGGGAAAAAAAAGAAAAAAAATTTTTTAAGGTTCAGTGAAGGAATATTTGTCACCAGGGTAAGGAAAGATTAACCACCGTCTCCTTTTGAATGCATAGGTCAGGTTTTTGTCGCCTGATGGCAATGGCTTCAGCAAACTTCAGAAGACTGGAGTTTGGCTGCTTACTAATCACCCTAAAGGATTGTAAGGTATCTACCTGATGTCCTGTATCAAGGAGATGTTTGGTGATCGCACTGTTCAGAGTCTTTCTTTCCCTTGTTCTTAAATTCATGTAAAAAGTGTTGTTTTACTTGGGACTCGATAGCTGAATATAACTGCATCCTACTGTTGATATTTAGGCTGATACCAGAACCAAGTATTTATCATCTTAAGCTTCAATGCGTTATTTACTGATCTGCTGTGTGTGGACTTCGGAATAGTAGATCGACCGGTCTTTCCAAAAACCTAGAACAACTCATATGGCCTTGACATAGTACTGGAGGCTACAATTTTAATTAACGTTGAAAAACATAACTTTGTGTTAGACATAAAATGAATTAATTATTTAGGAATATATATTAATTAAAAGGGCATATTGTGGTGTATTGCTTAAATATTCAATGATCTAAAATGACATATATATTTCTGGTTATGAAATCAAGTTTCATTTGGCATAAAGATCTTACATAATCTATAATCTTATTCATATACAGTGGTTCAGCTTGAACTTATTCATATGATTTAAAAATAGAACAAACCGTACAAATAATTATTCAAAATATCTCATAAATTAAGTTAGGCCATTTCATTTTTAAGGCTAACCATGTTTTACTTCTGTTTCTAATAATAACTGTATTTAATAGCAAAATATATATCCTTTAATATTTTTTTTTCAAGCTGAATTGAATAGAAATTAATAAAAACAATGAAGACAAAACACAACAATAAATAGTTTCGTAGAATGGTTTGATTTAGTTTATTCATTAGCACTTTTTACATAATCTGACTACTTACGTTAGTAGTCAGTTACTTTGAGCACTGTTTTTCTTATATCAGCTGAATGATCTATAGTAGTCATTAATGATGGTCAATCACTTATCAGTAACTTAGGTCCTGATAATCATTCATGTTAACCACCGATTAAAAAACTTTTTTTGTGATCAAACAGATCAGATATTTCGATCGGATCTTTTTACGAATAAATGCATGTAAAATTTGTTATAGATATAAAGTAATACAGAAGATAACTGGTTCTATTGGAGTCATTCTTAAAATACATTTAATGACCTAGATGACTAGATTTTTCCCAAAGCTTTTTAGTTGTAACTTATCACCACTCTCTTCTAGGTAAAATATAGTACAATTTTATCAAAATAATGAATGTCAGCATCAGTAAAGTAAAACTTTTAAAAATTTTAATAATCTTTTCACTTAAATTTGTCTATTTATTCATTCAACTTTTCTTAGGACTAATGATGAAGATGATCTTATCAAAGGAATTCATGAGCATAATAAAATTATAGGTATGTAAAGTGTCAATAAAATTTAATATCTGTTTACGTAGTAACTATTGTGACTTTAAGCCCGGCACTGCTGCTGAGGAGTCTCACAATAGAACGAAACGGCCGTCCAGTGCCTCGAGGTTTTCTATGGTGATCTAGCTTCAATTGACTCATGATCTCAACTATTGAAATCACTACAATATGTACAAAACCCCTTTTGATAATTTATTTATGAAAGTTATGAAATCGAAATGCAAGTTTAATTCTAAGCTCTATCGACTCTTACTTTCACTTTTTAAAAAATCATTTTTTGACCGGTCGACAGCATAATTTGTAAACTACACTTCAAGTATCGTCTTATTTATATCAATCGAAATTTATTATTCATGAAAATGTAATTCGCCTCAATCAGTTTTTTTTGTTGTTCACTTTTATCTGCATTTCGTATTTATATTAATATGATTATTAATTAATTCTTTTCTTTCAACAAAGGTTCATTAAATAATAAACAAAATATATGGCACCCAGTGCAGTCATTAATTAATCCTGATTCTAATATAGTACATCAAATCAATAAAACAATTATACGAAACTTGAATCTGGTTTTAGATGAACAATCGCTGAACAATATCGACCTACAAGACAGGTTTTTGGACGATTCAAGAATAAAGTAAAATAATTCGCAAACATCAGCATAATTCAAAGTCAGCGGTATGTTGTGAACAAAATAGACAACTTTTATTTTCTTCTTATGTAAAAGAAAGCAGTTTATTCGGGTTTCATCAATAAACTGTTTTTTATTGATTTTACTTGATTTCTTATTTTTGACTCATTCATTTGGTAAAAAAAAATAAACGATTTAGTAAATTAAATGAACCACTATTTTGTCCAAGAAATTTCCAAACCTGGCCGACAGATACTTTATCATATGAAACATGTAGTTCTTCACTCTTATCTCCCCTTTAATTACACCCCATCTGTGGCCGTGTAATAGTCTTAACCCGAATGTTTACGTGAAATATCCTCATGCATTCTCAAAAGTCAGTCGCGCTAGTTAAGTTGTCGTTCCTCAGCTCCGAGCATCTTATGAAAACCGTGAGTATGAACAAAATTTCCTAGTTCAGAAAATCAGCAATTGGCGGAAGGGCAATGGAGAAGCATAAAATACTACATAGAACTTGATACTCTCTTCAACATAGATAATTGATGACTATCATTTCGATGCATCATTTTACAGTCTTTTAGGTACTCATTGAAACTGAATTTCATGGAAAAAATATCACCATAAACTAAGGTTAACCTTTCATAAATTCCCCAAGAGCTTTTCCGAAGTTTCAACAAAACTTCAGCAGCTCAATTTGAAATTGTTTGAATTATCCCGTTGTTAATATTTTGACTAAGATTTTATAAGACTTAGTTGGCATACGTGCACCCTAATTACATTGCCACAATATACCTATTTCTCATAGGTTTTTATAAAATAGACGGACCGTGCTTAACAATAGAATCCAGAACGAGCATTTACTTGTATTTCAGATTCAGTAGCTAAGTGGATAACGTGATGTCGTTTTTAGAAAAAGGTGCTGGTTTCGAATCCCAAAATGATCATCGACTCTGAGATTCAGATACATCCACCTTATTAGTCTTAACTAAGATTAAATGAGTGTCTGAATCTCCACTGCTAGTCACAGTCCATGTGTTCAATGCAAACTTTGGAGCTTAGTCCTTTTAGTTATTAAATAATCATGTATATTATGGTAAATGGTTATTTTTATTTAACTATAGAATTAGTTTGTTTGTATCTTCAGCACTACTGCGTACCTTCTGAGAAAAGTTTAGGATCCGTAAAGAAAACCTTCAAACTTAACATCCTGATTATTTATTCGGTAGCCATTTCAGAGGCTTATAATTATTAAAACACATTAAAATCGAAAAGCGTACAGTTCTTTCAATTTTGGAATCTACAAATGTCATTTCTTAAAGTTAGGAAGTGGTTTATATCATACATCTAAATAAACCACTAACTCTATGATAGGTATTACGATGTCATATAATTAACATAAGTCAGGAAATAAATATTTGAAAAAGTTTACAAATACCATAATCAAATCTATTCCCTATTAAATCAAGGTACGTATCTTCAAATGAAATGTAGTATATGGAAAGACATATGAAAGGTGTGAAACTTACTGACTTACACCTGTAACATCAAGCAGAAAAGCATAGGCCACACACCAGCATCCTCCAAAAGTAAAATAAAATTGCGTTGAATTATATATAACACTTTCTACTTTTTCATGTAATGACGATGGAAACCAGAAATTGAATGAAATAGAGTAAAGTGGAAGATGACAAAACCGTTAGGCTTAAGGCATATTATGCATTTTTCAACTGTCAAGAACAATGATAATGCAGGGATACAGAATAAAAAAGTCACAACAGAGTAAACAAAAAAGAAATGAACAGAAGAATAAACAGCCAAACCATTGTATAAAAACAACATAAAAATTGAAACGAAAAAGAAAGAAGATAAAAGATAATTCGGTGGTGATTAAGTCTCGACAATTGGATATGTTCTCGCTCAACAAAATGGTCGTATTTAGACATAAGACCAACGGCCAGACCCCCTGGATTAATGAGAGGATAGAATGCGAGTGACGAGAGTTAGTGCTTAGTTCCGTGGTGAGATTTCAAAGTTTATTATTGTATCTCGGACTACGCTAGGACCACGTACCCAATGAGTCCGCACCGAGAGGCAAAACTAATGTGGTTGTTGTGATTAGCAATTTCGGAATACGCACGGTGAGGTTGTGACATAATAGCATTGCAGTGAACTATGACAGGAGTGAGTGTGAAACTTAAAGGTGTACGGGACTACTTTGGTGCTCGGTGGGAGTTGCAGTGTGAGGTTACTGGTGGATCGGGACTTGGGTTAGACTCAGTCGGACCCATATTTGATTATTGCAGTGTCAATCGGTGTGATGACTTCTCATGCTTGCTACAAGGGAGTTACCAACCAGATCGGTCGGTGAAGTCTTTCTCAACATCTAATGCTTTAGAATAAAGTGGACACTTTTTGCAACATGTCCCCGTTTCGTATCTTATCGGGACAGGAATTTTCATTGTGCTTAAAACAATGTGGTCTTTTAATCGCAGCTATTGTTTTGTTGGTACTTTGTAATCTTCTTCAATAAGGACTGATTTTCGTAACACATAACGACAGACATTGATCGTGTGTGGTTAAATCTACGAATAACTCATTCAAGCACTGGTACTGCCGAAAATTTTTGTATTTGTATTTAATGGAAGAGAATTTGTGCGAAATCTATGCCTTAAGATCTTGAAGTTAGTACTCGGGTATTTTAAGGATAGAGACAATATTGAATAACGCTCACAAAACTCGTGTTTCAAATATTCGTACCCGACCACATTGGCTGCTTGTGGATCGAATCAGGTGGAAGTCTTGGAAATAAAACGTCCGAGGTAAGTTTGATGGTGTATGAATTAAGTCCCAATATAATTTTCGTCACAGAAACTTGGCTCGCTGTAAATATAGACTGTTCTCCCATCATTGCAGGTTACATCTGTATTAGAAATAATAGATGCAGTGGAGGAGGCATAATATTATACGTTAGAGACCACTTCCGTATACAACCAGTCATGTCGGAGGAGCATGTTAATGGTACATGTGAGGTAGCATGTTGCAAAGATACGGGTTATTGACTATAGGAGGAATATACCGTAGTCCGTGTTGTCTGGCTGATGACTTTATCTTTAGACACATCTGTTCATGGAGTAAGGCAGAATGTTGTCTCATTATTGGAGACTTCAACGCACTGCATATCAACTGGATAGAGCTTACAGCTTCTATCAACCATTATTCAGTGTGCACTTGCACAATATATCGCAAATCCGACACACTTTGACTTGGAACATGACCCGTCATTGCTGGACCTCGTCCTCACACACCATTGTGAGGAAGTCATCGACATTCAGCATCCTCCCCTACTAGTGAATAGTGGTCACGTTGTACTGTACTTCGAGTTTCGAGCACTTAGTATACAATTTGTATCTGCTCCACCCTGTTCTAATATCTGGCGAGCCAATACTCCGGCAATCAGGGACTGTACTATGTCGACTGTCTGGTGGGTCGACGTGGATGGATCGATCGGAGACGAATGGGATAGGTTTAAGGACACAATCGAGTCCGTAACATCACCGTTTATCCCATGGTTATCACGTAAGCTATTACATTTCAAACGATGGATTAATAAGGAAACCCGGAAGTTGTTGAAGCGAAGGAAACACTTCTGGGACTTATTCTTGTCAACAGGACAAGCACCACTTAAGTGCGAATATCGAAAAATCCGGAATATATGCAAAAAGACTATAGCTAAATCCTGTACTACTTAGGAAAGACAGTTGGCATATCGTAGCCGTACTTGCTTGAAACGATTGTTTTCGTATATTAAATGGCGAACAAATTGTAGCGATGGTATTCCCCCATTACTGTTACACGAAAATTCAGATTTACTAGTTTGATCGAGTCAGGCAAAAGCTGAGACTTCCTCTAACTACTTTAGCGAAGTCTACACTACGTGAATTTCTTCAAATACTAGTCACAATCACACCGAGATACCAGCAATTGGATCTGGACGTATAACTGAGGAAACTGTTCTTCCATTTATAACTAACCTCAAACCTTGTAAGATACCGGGCCCTGACGGGTTACATTTATGACTGCTGTCATCTCTTGCGGACATTATTTCAATCCGCTTGCGACGCTCTTCAACATGTCCCTTTAACTCGCCCAACTCCCTAGAGATTGGAAAGACGCTGTAGTCGGTCCTATATTTAAGGATGGTCAGAGGCGAATCGTATCTAACTACCGGCCTGTCAGTCTAACTAGCATAGCCATTAATTTACTTGAAAAGATGATTCGGGTTAGGTTTTTGGTCACATAGTTTCACACAGTCTCTTAACTTCCGAGCAATATGGGTTTCGTAACAAGCGTTCATTCTTCGCTAACTTACTCATTGCGAGAGAGGATCGGACAGCAGCCCTAGATAACGGTTTGTCTGTCGATGTGATATTCATAGATTATAGCAAAGCATTTGACAAGGTTTCACACTTATATCTTATACAGCTCTCCAGCTTCGGAGTGGAGAGGAAACTTCTCATGTGGATGCAGACAGAGTGAGGGTCAATAGAACGCTGTCCGAATGGAAGCCGGTCAAAAGTGGTGTACTTCAAAGCACCATCTTAGTCCCTTAACTTTTCCTTCTCCACATTAATGAATTACTGCTGTTGCTTAAGTCGTCGACGTTATTGTTTGCGGATGATGCAAAACTCTGGAGAACAATGAGAAGTGAGGCTGACCATTTGGATCTCCAAGCTGGCTTAGATGAATTAGTTGGATGGGCTAGAGTTTGGGGCTTAGAAGTTAATTCTAAGAAGAGGGTGTTCATGCACATCGGACATGGTAATATTTACCATTATACAATTGATGGTAAACCACTTTCAAGCGTTCAAGAACATAAAGACTTAGGTGTAATAATAAGTCGTGACTTGAGAACAACTACGCATTGCAACGCAACATCTGTCAAAAATTTTCGTGCGTTATGGTCACTTCGCCGAGCATTCAAATGCTTTGACGAGGAAATATTTCGAATTTTCTATCCCACCTATGTAAGACCACACTTAGCGTACTGTATTCAAGCAGTTAGCTCATGTCTGTTAAAGGATACTAACTCACTTGAGCGTGTTCAGTGCATGGAAACAAAATTAGTGAAGGGTCTTTCTAA